ATTTCTCACCACATGAAAATGGCCAGATCTCTCTGATCCTTTAAAACAGGGCTTCTCATCGTTGACATGGTAGGCTGGATAAGTCTTTGTTGCAAGGACTGTTCTGCATGGCAGGAGGTTGAGCAGCAACTCTGGCCTCTATCCACTAGATGCTAATAGCATCTTGGAGTTGGGGTGGCCAAAATGTCTCTATATGTCATTGCCAGTGTCCATTAGGGGCCAAGCCACCTCTGTTTTGAGGCCCAGTGCAAACCAAGCTCCTTCATCACCATCTTCCTCTGATTCCCACAGTCGCCAGTTCTTCTATGGTTTCCTCATACCCTTCGTTTCCACTGCTGCCCCGTTCACTCAGTTTTGACTCAGGCTTCTGACAATGGCTATTATTGAAAAGTGCTCTCAGAGACAGAGGTGACTGGGCAGCCAAATTCAGTAACTGGCCAGCCTTTCTCAATTCCTTAGTTTTGGGTAGTATTTGATACCGTGGCCTCATTTTGTGGTATCCATTCCACTTCTCTGACTGTCTCCCTTAGATCTGCTTTTTTCTGTATTTTCTAATTGTACCCCCCTCCGCCCCCAGTAGCCCTCAACTGTTTTCCTTTTTCTGGTTCTCCTTCTTTTATGACGTGCACCCCCGCCCATTTATGAATAGTTCCCAGAGTGTAGATTCTGCCTCTAAACTCAACTCCAGGCTTGCATGTCTTTGTGCCTTTTGGATATGTCCACTTGATCATCTACATATCACTTAAACTCACTGTATTTCAATATGTTCTCAATAAATACCTTGTCTTTTTACTTTGACCAGCTCCCTTTAGTGGAACTATAGTCATTTATCAGTGGTTCTCCTAAAACTTTTCTTTATTTTTTGCCAGGGGGAGGCGTTGAGCACAGAATAAAAAGGTTTTAAGACTGCCACATCTAAAATGTGAGATTCATTGAAAACTTTTTTTGCATTTTTTTCTTTTCTTTTTAAATGATTACATTTAATTTATTTATTTATGTGTGTGTGTGTGTGTGTGTGTGTGTGTGTGTGTGTGTACACATGTACGTGTATATGAGTGCCACCATGTGGAGGTCAGAAGACAGTTTTCAGGAGTCAGTTCTTGCCTTCTACCATGTGGTTCTCAGGGATTGAACTCAGGTCATCAGGCTTGGTGGCAAGTTCTTTTACTCTCTGAGCCATCTCAACAGCCCCCTTTTTGTTTTCTTTAAAAATTTCTCTGTATGTATTAATTGTACATGGTACTGATTTACATAAGGATATTTCCATACAAACATGTGTTATATGAAAGAATCCGCAATTGTGTTTGTATGTGTGTGCATGCCGTGGTGCATGCATGGATGTGAGAGGAAAACTTTTGATAGTTGGTTCTCTCCTCCCACCTTGTGGAGCCCAGGGATCAAACTCAGCTCATCCGGCTCAGTGGCAAGTACCTTTACCTGCTGCGAGCCATCTGGCTGGCTGGAGACCCTGGTTTTTTTTTTTGTTGGTTTTTTTTTGTTTTTTGTTTTTTTTAAAATTGAATTTTTGTGTATTTTATACAGAATATCTCAGACTCTCTTTATACCCCCATCCCCACCAGCACGCTCCCACAATCCATCCCCCCACCCCCACCCATATACTCTGTCATCAGTATTAAGGCCCAATGTGTCAAGTCAGTGTGCCCAGATGTTCCTTTGTACAAGTCCATCCACTGAGGTCTAGTTAGCCTAGAAAATAAGACCCTATCTCAAAATAAAAGGTAAAAAGAGGTTTGATGTATATATTACTGATAGAGTACTTTCTTGCCTTGCATGAGGTCCTGGGTTCAATCCCCAGTACTTTAAATTAAATAAATACATAAATTAGTTTGACAGTAAAGCCCTTTTGCTTTAAAATGTATTTCATACATTCTTTTTGTGGTGCTGAAGATCAAACCCAGAGCCTTGTGCATTCTAGCCAAGCAGTCTCCTAATGAGCTACAACCCCAGCTCCTGATAGTCATAATTTCATATATTAAAATCTAGACCTAATACTTTGCTATAAAGTGTTGCTTTTTTTTATTGTATTGTCTTCATTGAAAAAGATAACCTTAGATTCAAATAGAGTTCATCAATTTTTGCTACACTTACAAAAACAATCATGATGCCCAAATAGGAACTATGGTTGCCAGAGATCGTGGGGATGGGACAATAGGTTGCTAGTGCCTAACAGGTATAGAGCTTCACTTTGGAAAGATGCTGGATGATGGTAATGACTGCAGAAGAATGTGAATGTGCCTAATACCACTAATTTACACACCTAAAACCAGATAAGGTGACAAACTTTATGTGTGTGTTATTACAGTTAAAGACTACAAAAAGGAAATGCTTAGTGGGAAGGATCTTTATAGCACTTATTAAAGTTAGTAAGTACCACTGCTCTCATCTGTATAACAATGTCATTATTCCGTGTTCCCATAGTCACATTTGTCTACTCAGATATCTTACTTTTGGCTCAGTAGCTGACTGTACCCACTGGGTGCGGCATGTTTCTTATACACAGTAGGTGCTCAGAAGAGAATGTATCTAAATAAAAGTTCTGATGACAGTGTTCTGCAAGCATTTAAAATTTTTACTTGGGGATTTAGTTCCATGAAAATATGCATGATTTGGGTTCATGCACACACCCACATAAATACAGAGTAAAACAGCATCACATGATATCCCACAAATATGTATAACCTTTACATGTTGATTAAAAATATAACACACAGTAAATGTAGTAATGTGGAAGTAACAATTTAAATATAATGAATATAAAACATCATTGAAAAAAGATTTTCTATTTCTAAATACAGTGTGGTCTCATAAACACAGGGACTAAACTAGAATCACCTTGTGTCTCTGCCCTTAGCACAGAACCTGGCCTCATACTACACAGCAGGGCATGCACCTAATAAATATTTATTGATCTAAACAGACAAAAAAAAAGAGTCCCTGATTGGTAGGTATGAATGTTTCTTACTAATCATTGAACCCTGGCTTCTGAAAGACCAAAACAATTGGAGAAAGAAGTCAAACAAATTAGATTCACATGTCAATTTAAACACAAATATTAAAAACATCTTGTTCTATGAAATTCTATTCAATAAACACTCTGCAGTTAAATACATGCCTTTCAATTCCAAAAAAGAAAAAGAAAAAAGAAAATATGCATGATTTGGGATTAAGTATTTAATTCGTTTAAATGAACGCTGTCAGTGTGTTGTTCAGACTCTCCATGTCTTCATGTTCATGGGAGACTTTTATAAGTAAGACAAACACATACAGCAGAGAAAGACTTTACTCTAGAACTTGTGTTCCCATGTATTAGTATTGGCTATTGAAAAATTGTATTTTGTGACTTAAAAAGTGTTTTAAGTTGTATTAACTTTAGGCGCTTGCTTTAGACAAAGTGGCTTTAAGGTTTGTTTTTATTGAGCTTTTTAAATTTCATACATTTCCCACTTTAATCCAGATCCCCTCCCCCTTCCATGCCTCCCCTTATCCCCCCCGCGGAACCCTATGCACTCTGCCATACATGTTGAGTCCTATTTATTTAGGTGTTTGTACCCAAATGTCCTTCAGTGTAAATGTGTCTACTGGAGTCTAGTCAACTCATCCAGTTGTCGTATGTAAGTCATACTCTCCCTCACCCAGCAGTAATCAGTCTCAAATAGTTGTCAATCTAGTGCTGGCCCACCACCTATTTCTCACCTCCCCTTTGGGCCCTTGTTTAATTGAGCTGACATGGGTCCTGAGCTCGACGCCACAGCTGTCACAGGCTCACATGAGCAAACCTCTAGTGGTCTGGAGGCCTCCACCTCCCTGTGTTTATGAACCAGTCCTGGCTCTTATAATCTTTCCACCTCCTCTTCCACAATGGTCCCTGAGCCATGGGTGGGTGAGGTTCTATATAGGAGTCCCAACCTATACTCTATAGTCTCTTATTTTCCAAAACTTGGCCAGTTGTGGCCTTCTGTGTGCAGCACACTCTGATGTACATGGAAGCCTCACTGGTGAGAGTTGAGGGGTGCATTAGCCCTCTCTCTACCCCTTATTCCATTATGTTCATGAGTCTTGGTTGTAGAGATTTGACTGCAGGTGTGTCACCTAGTCCTGGGCATCTCCCAGACCTATGTTCTTTGTGCCTGAGCCGATGTGCAGCTCTGCAGTAGCCTCCATCTGTTGTAAAAGCTTCTTTGATGAGTGTTGTATGGCATGCTTGTCACTCGAAGGGAGGTCTCTTCTATCTAACACTGCACTCCCTGCCAAGCAGCTCCCAGGTATACATATGCATTCATGTTCAGACACTCTATGTGCATTTCCCATAGGGTTTCTAGGGCATCACTTTTCCCTCTAGGTTTCCTAGCCCCCTGAGATTCACTCTTCATTTTTTTTCTCCCATCCAGGTTCCCTCCTCCCTCCCTCCATAGTCACAGTGCTCTCATAATCCCCACCCTCCCCTCAATACCTCCCGACCCCCACTATCTTCCTTTCCTGCTTCCCTTGCTCCCCCACACCATGGTCCCTTGCGTGGCCCTCCCTCCTCTTCTCCCTGACGATTACTTCCACTTTTTCCACCTCCCTCAGGTAACATCTGTTCCCCACTATCCTCCTCCTTTCAGGTTGTTCCTTTTCCTTTACCTTCAGAAGTGTACGGTTGAGAAAGTGTGTTTTTTCAAGTGAGTTCGATGTAGGAATGATGCTCTCAGAAAAAGACAAGGGGCCACTTGGCCTCAGTCTCACCAGCTAAGCCTCTGCCTTTCACTTTCTTGCCTGACGAATATTGTCTCCTCAGATCTTGGGTCACAAAGTTGATCTTTTTTTCCTTCACTGGCTCCCAGTGACAGTTTGTATGCTGTCGTCTAGCTCCATCCTCCTTTCCAGCAAAACGTGATCACAATTCCCACATCTTTCTTGGCTCCGCCGTCTCCTCCTCCTCTTTCCCCCTTTCCCAGTGAATCAGCAGATGTGCATGACGTCATCTTTTTATTTGGCAGACTCACTGGTGTTAAATGTCATCCTGCCAGAAGTCAAGCATGAAGAGCCTGCTTCTGCAGTTCTTGCTTATTAATTTGGGGGACGTTTTTGGTGAGTAAAAGGTTTTGAATCATAGCAGTTTGGTTTAATAAAAACAAAAACGTGGCTGGAGATGGCTAGGTGGGTAAAGTGCTTACCATGTTAGCATGGGGACTTGAGTTTGGATCCCCAGACCTGTGTGAAAACAGGTATAGTGGTATAAGTTTGAAATTCTGGTGCTTCTGTGGCAAGATGGGAGGTGCAGATTAGAGAGTCGCCAGAAACTTGTGGGTCGGCAAGCCTGGTGTATACACAGCAGCAAGAGGTCATGCCGTGAGCAAGGTGGAAGTTGAGGACCAACAACAAAGATTGCCCTCTGACCTCTCATACACACTGTGGGATGAGCATACTCTCCCTGCAGATAAACAAAACACAGAAACCCAAAATCAACCCAACATTCTCATAGGGTGAATAGGATACTGGTGCTTTAAGTTTTCATCAAAGACACAGTAGCCATCTATTCTAACCATTAAAACAAATACAGTAGCCAGGTGTGGGGGCTCGGGCCTTTAATCCCAGTGCTTAGGAGGCAGAGGCAGGTGGACCTCTATGAAATTGAGGCTAGTCTGGTTCATATAAAGAGTTCCAGGCCAGCTGGGGCTACGGGAAACTCTGTCTCAAAGAAACAGGGGGTAAGGGGGACAGCAAGTTTGCTTTAGAAGGCCGCTGTAAAACAGTAGACACAATATGAACAAATAAAACCTTAAAATTATACCCATAGATTAGTGCTGCTCTCAACCTTAGTCGGGAGGCTTCTGTTTGAAGTGGGCAGCAGTTAATGCAGAGACTCATAACTGGTCAAAGTTCTGGAACAAGTGACTGTGAGTGCTCAGCCCCAAATGGGACATCTATACCCACCTCCAAAGTTCCAGGAACATTGTAGAAGAGGTGGCGGAAGAAATGTAAGAGCCAGAGGATGAGGAGGAGTGCTGTGAAGTATTGTCTTCTGGACTTGTTTATATAATTGCATCATTTTAAAGATATATGAAATGTACAGTATCTGTAATTGTTTTTTAGCAGACTTCTCTGCTTCCTAGGAATGTAATTTTCTCTAGTTGAGAGTGATCATTGCTCCCAGTTCTTAATCCCTTCCCATTTTGCTGCTACTGAGCTTGGGAATGGGGAGAATGGCAGTCTCCTTCCCCCTCAAGGAGGGCAAGGCGGTTTTAGGCTCCTCCAGGATCTGTAGAGCAAAACAGCACTTGAATCACATTTCTGTCTCTCTTAATCTTACCACTTGGCATTTCATCTGGAGGTCGCAAAGCCATCTTTAACTTTTTAACTTCCTGCTCAAAACCAATCTTTTGATCCTGTGCTTGTCAGCTATGTGGTTGCGCCTGCCATTGCTGTCCTCGCTGTGTGGCTTCTCCGTTCAGTCAGTTCCTCCAGGGGAACCCAGTGTCTTTTTTGATGCTCACTCCCTCACTACACTTCCCATGTGGAGCAGTCTTGCCTATTCATTTCCAGAATATGCCCCAAATCGTCCTCTCCTGCTTCCACTGCCACAACTTTCTAATGTCTTGTCTTCTGTTCATATCTTTCTGAGTGTAAACCTTATCCCATCCCTGCCCCATTTAAAGTCTTGCGTTGTAGCCTGGCATGGTGGCACACACCTTTAATTCCAGCACCCAGGAGGCAGAGGCAGGTGGACTTCTGTGAGATCGAGGCCAGCCTGGTCTTCATGGTGAGTTCTAGGCCTTCTGGGGGTTACACGGAGACCCTGTCTCAAAAAGGCAAAAAACAAATAAATCTCTCATTGCCTTCCGCTGCTCTTATAAAAAAATATCAGTAAGTAGCCCCAATTCTCCAAATTTGTCACTTTCTACTTATGAGGCCACCCCGTTCCATCCCCTGCTCCCCTAACACACTGCACAGACTCCACTCCCTTGTTCTGCCTTAGCTTAAATGCTGCTTTGAGTAGATCCAGTTCAGTCAGGTCCCTCCCGTTTCTTGCCCCTCGTGTTCCTTGTCTTCTTGACATTTAATATTTGTAATCGTGTGTAGATGTTTACTTTTTAAATCTGTCTTTCCCATGAACTGTAAATCCATTAGCTCAAAGTCAAATCTGGTTTAGCATCATATCCCCAGTTCCTAGGACTGTGACTGGCACATGTTGTGGGCCTAATATAGATTTGCATGAATGGATAAAGGAGTCTTTATATAGAGTAAAAGTACTGTGTTCTTCCCATTTTTCCCCTTGATTGTGGTTGTTAAAGGGAGTAGGTGGCTTTTTTGACAAGAAGCTTGAATAGACAGTACTGCCTCCCTATGCTTTTACAGGTTCATGTGCTCCTGAGTAGCCTGGTGTTTGCTATTCAGAGGGACTCCTACTTACTCTTATTTCATGGTTCCTGACACTTGGTTAACAATTTGATTTTGAATCACTACTGAGGTTTGCCTCAAATGGAGAAAAAGAACTTATATAGGTCGTTTAAAATGTATGAGCCTTACTGTACCACAAAGAATAGCAAAAATAATTTTACTGCTTTGGTAATATTTTCTTCACATGCATTATCTCCCCCAATGATGTGCTAAGTCACAGATACTATATCATCACTGTAATGAAAAGATTTTGGTTGAATGGGGGGAGGGTGAGTCTGTAGCTGACATATTAAGATGTGCTTTTCTGAAGTTGGCTGGGTTCCAGGGATAACAGGGGACCAATGAGAGAGGACACACTAGACTTGGCTGCAGAGACCCCTTATGTGATGACTCAGCAGAACTCAAGCATACCTTCCATTGCCAGTGGGTTTCCAGTGCCCAAGAGCAGTTCAGCCAGCATGGCCTCCCCGCTCACCAGGGGCATACTGCTTAATTTTATCTAGATGTTTTTCTAGATGTAATGTCTGAGTATTCTTGGAGCATGATTTATTATTGTTTTATTCTTAAGTTTAAAAAAAAGTAAAATTCGGGGCTGGAGAGAGACTGGGGATCCGACAGCCTCTTCTGACTTCCTCGGGCATTGCACGACACAGGTGCACTTACCTACATGCAGGCAATGCATGCATGCACATAAAAAAAAATTAAAAAATTTAAAAAATAAATAAAATTCATTGCTGTGGTTTGGATATAGCAGTACCTTAAGGCCCGTGTGGCAATGGCTTTGTCATCAGTTTGACACTTTGGGGAGATGGTGGCATCTTTAGTAGGTGAGTCCTAGTAAGCAGAAGTAAGGTCATGGGGAATATACCTTTGAAGAGGTGTTGGAAGCTTGGCCTCTCCAGATATTAATCTCTACCCCTTCTTCTCCTCCCCCTGCCTCCTGGCTGCCACGAGGGGAACAGACTTTCTCTGCCAAGCACTCTGTGATGTACCATGCTACCACAGTCCCAAAGCAGGAAGACTGGGCTTGAAACTTCTGAAACCATGAGCCAAAATAAAATTTGCCTGTATAAGTTGATTCTCTCAAGGAGTTTGTCACAGTATTGGAAAGCTAACTAACTCACATGTCATCCTTCTCATAATTCTGTTTCTTGTAATTTGAAAATGCTGTTACAGTATATTTGTATTTGAACTCTGTTGTTTGCTATGCGTCTTCTCAAGCTAGGAACCTACTCCAGGGTAAAGTTTGCCATTTTTCTTGTGTAATAGTGTAAGGCATAGAAAACTCATCATGAAAAAGAGGCTGTACTTTCTCCAAGTCAGTGTGTGTTTAAACAGCTTGGTGCAAAATAGTGTGGAAGACCCTCTGTAAGTATGCACCACAGATTGAATAAATACTGCCTCTCATAGGAAACAAGTGCTCCCTACCTAGAATAATTAGATACTGATCTAATAATTTATGCCTGGGGATGTTCTGTCTTCAAAGCACATCCATATACTTCATGATTTGATCCTCACAACATCCCCCTGGAGTAGGCAGGGAGGAAGGAGACTGATATTATTACACCTCATTCACTGATGTGACAACTGAGCTTCACCTGAATTGTGATGTCCTCACCAGACGTGTAACTGGTAAGTGGCAGAGTGTGCATACCAAGTCATGCCTTGGGCTCTGTGCCCCAGGTTCCACAGTATACCCTAATAGCTCAAATGAAAGTGGGATGTTGGCCCAAGGGTATCTACCCAAAGCCTCTGCACTCTCCTGCCTTCACCATTTTGGAAAAATCCTGAAGCTGACCTGATTCTCTGTCTGAACCCTGGCCCCTCCTCTCTTTTCTTCTGATTATATAGTCTTTTCAACTTTTCTGCAGTCTGGACTTCACCACTGGCTCTCTCGTGTCCTTCCGTTTCCCCTCCCTTTCATGGCACCGTTCTTTCTCTTAAGTCCTTTCTTCCCTACCAGAAGAGTATTCGCTGTTGCTCCTTTGTGAACGCCATCCACTCCTCAACCAAACTGCTTATCTGCAAGGCCAGTTCCTGTTTTTCACTTCTCATCCTGTGCATGCAGGCTTTACCTTTCTGGCTAAGCCACCACTATTTCCTGAATAGCCATCCTGCAGTTTCTGGGCACTCTTTCTTTTACATGGAAGTGTTCATCTGCCACTCCTACTCTTTAAATGTGATGTTCCCAGAGTCGTTCCGTTGCCCGACATAGGAACGTCTTTACTCACAAGCCATCTTCACATTCCAGCAGTTACCTCTACTATCAAAAATGTAATCATGTCCACGATCTCCAGTTCCTACTCTCCTGACTTGAGCAACTAAAAAATGTCGACTATGCTCAGGCCCCAAATAAAGCTGAAATTCTCTCCATTGTAATAGAGTCATTCTCCAGTTTTAAAAAGTAAAAGCCTTGGTGTCTTCTCCTTTTGGGGTCAGAAGGAAGAAACCTTGATGCTTTTGTCTTAGAATTATTTATTGCAGCCTCCTAATTAGCTTTCCTTTTAGTCATGCTCTGCTCCAGAGTATTCCATTCCATTTCTATGGTTCTCTTCTTCGTAATTTAGTGTGATGGAAGCTCCCTAGCTCTGTACTTGACTTCCTCACAGGGAGAGAACCTCTGCTTTTTTCCAGTCGCTGGCAGCTGTGCCCTGCATTCAGTAATGCTCAAAAACATTTGTTGAGTGACC